GACTAGAAGCAACCCATAATTGGGGTAAAAAACACTATATTAAATGTTTGTTGAGTAGAAATTATTAAACCAAAACTCACTGTGAAGTTGAATGTTGTTTGTAGGTTTTTATGGAGACATTCGCTATTTTGAGATACTCTCTCAAGTCTCCTGTTTCTTCAGTTTTTAGAGTATTCAGGTACTCCTTGACTTATATTACATTCTGATAAACCCATCGTATGTTGAAAATATCATAAATTAGAAAATGCATTGAATGCACCTATTGAATACATTATAGCTTAGCCTAGCCTAGACCTCAAATGTGTTCAGAACACTTACATTAGCCTATTGTTGGCAAAATCATCCTGTTACCATAGAGAGTACCATACTGCATATTGATAGCCTGGGGAAAGATCAAAATTCAAAGTATGGTTTCTACTGAGTTCTTAGCTCTTTCACACCATTGTAAAGTTGATAAATCCTAAGTCAGGGACCATCTGCATTTCTTAAGAATTTAAGTTTAGGATGATGGCTTTTGATGCAATAACAACAAAAATACTAATAGCTGAAGATTATGCTCTTTTCTACCAGGCGTTCTGTAAACTTATATACAATCACATTATATACAATCACACTGTAACAACAGTGTGAGGTATAAATATTGTTCTTGTTCCCATTTTACAAGTAAGGATTTAAATCTTAGAAAGGTTCAAGGTCAGTTAGCTAATAAGTAGCAGAGGCAAAATACTTGAATAAAGTTTTCAAATTCTAAGAAACCTTTGTGCTTAACTGCTGTTGCATGAACCGCAGTTATAAACAGTCAAAACACTTTGAAGATACTGGACAATTATTTGTTAGGAAATGTTCCAGTGTATTTTTTTAAGAGTGGGTTTGTTTGTTTTTTAGCATCAGAGTTTTGATGAAACTCAAGTAACCAATTAATCATTCCCCAGTTGCAAGGATTTCCAGTAATTCTTGTTTTGTTTTGTTTTTAATTAGCATGATTTTTTTTTTCAGTCACCAGTGTCATAGTATTCATTTTTATTTCTTACTTGGTAGTGCAGGAGGAGTTGGACAAAGCTTCCAGTTTTTGTAGTGAATCTGTTTAGAACCTAAAATAA